CAAGACACAATATCTATCCCAACAGCCAACAAATGGATGCATCATGTTGGATTGTATGTCCAAGAGTACAAGAGATGCCTGTATCACAATGGACATGAACAGGCAGACGTTGTGATCTATTGAGAGAAGTTTATTAATGAGATTCTTGACTTATGTAAACGTGAACATTCTCACGATGGCAAGATGATGGATCAGAAAGTCTATGCAGAAGTTGAAGACGGGACTCAAGACATTGTGCGTGTCTATCAAGATGAATCAACCATACATACAAACAAGCAACCTCAATCAGCTTGGATGACTGATAAGGACTGTGCACTTCGTACAAAAAGCGTTGGAAAGTTGATACATATCTCGGACTTCATCTGTCTAACAACTGGCCAACTTGTTTTACCCACCGATTCAACTTCAACTCTTCCCTTCACAGATGCTACAGTCACCATTTATCCAGGTGCAAAGGGCAAAGGGTGGTGGGATTGTCAGCAGCTAAGAAGTCAGATTGTAAATCAAGCCATCCCAATCTTCAACTCCAATCACCCTGACTCTCAAGCTTGTTTTATTTTTGATTGCTCTGCAGCACATGAATCTATTTCTCTAGATGTGCTTTGACTTCCAAAAATGAATCTATTTCTCTAGATGTGCTTTGACTTCCAAAAATGAATTTCAAATCTGGCGGTAGTCAAGTAAACCTTTGAGACACAATCATACTGGCTGATGATCCAAATATTCCACCTGAACTTTGTGGCAATGTTCAAGCCATGAATTTCCCTTCAAATTATACAGGAAGAACCCCAGACAGAAAGACCAAGAGTGGACAAGTTGTTGAGGGGGAATCACTTGCAGGAAAGCCTAAAGGAGTCCGACAGATCCTCATCAAGCGTGGCCTATGGGATCATCACAACAAATCACGTGCTTCAAGAGGTGAGAAGGAGTTAATCTTCAAATGTAAGGACTGTAAGAAGACTGGGCGTGCTAAGGATCAGATCGCTCGAGCCAAGCAACTACTTCGACATGCCAAAATCCCTGCTAAACAAGACCAAACAAGACCTAGCAAAGCTTTACCTGAAGTTGACATTTCAGACTGTTGCGCTTTCAAAATCTTATCAACACAATCTGACTTTGAAAATGAAAAGCCACTGCTTCAGAAGGTCATTGAAGACGCTGGTCACATCTGCAAGTTCCTTCCTAAGTTTCACTGTGAATTGAACCCGATCAAACTCCTTTGGTGTTACATCAAACCACGTAAGTCTGAATGTTTTGTCACTTTGATTTTTTAACAATGACTGACAACAACTTTGATTCAGGCTATCGAGAACACAGTGATGAGTTTTCAAGCCTTCAAGAAGCAAAGGATTGGTTTGAAGAAGTCAGGCAAGCCTGTCCCTTTGTGACAATCGGACGTTTCTTTTGCAACACCAATAAGATAATGTCCAATCTTCTGTAAGTGCGACTTTTTTCAATCTCATTTGATCGTTCACTCAACTTGGTTGTTTATAGGGAATCTATGAAACTCAATCCTGGTCCCAACCTCAACGCTCAAAGATATACACACTACGCCAGATTGCAAATTTACCGTGGAGTTTAGAAAATTGAGAGAACATAGAAAATTGTACACAAGGCGGAAGGGGTCAGAAAAATATGAAAAAATAAGGGTTGTGTCCGCCTGTGTGTTCCCATCATCTTGCATATTTTTTCAGATTTTTACAGTAGAAGTCGATGTCAGGTCAGAAACCCAGTTTTTGTCCAAAACTGGCAGTTATTGAGGCATCAACCTTGTGAGACCAATAAAGTTGTCAATTTTGCTTCAAAATTTGAAATGTCTTCACATTGTGAATTCTACATCTTTGATTTACACTGTACATGTTGGAATCAGCTGTTTCTTCAAAAATGTGTGAGGTACAGCAATCACGGTCACCATCAGCAAAGCCAGCAAATCTTGTAAATCTTTGTTGAAATGGCTTTAGTATCTCAATGGAAGTTGTAGATCTAGTATGTGGCTTTCATAATTTGTAAGTACCAAATGAATTGAGCAAAAGTTGGTGTACTTTTGAGTGTTCACAGTTTCTGCCCAAACCTTAGTAGTTTTGGACCAAAATTGAGTTTCTGACCAGATAAACACCATAAGCATTTTTCTTTGGAATATCATCAGAACTGATGGTAAAAATATGAAAAAATATGCAAAATCATAGGTCAGCACAGGCGTATTCAACCATAATTTTTTCAATTTTTTCTGATCTCTCATGCATTGCTGAGAATTTTCTACATTTGCAATTTTCTAAACTCCACGGTATATTAGTGATTTGGTGTAGTGACATCACATCAAACCATTGCTTGTGACTTGGCAAAAGATGCTAACCTCAAAGTTTGATTTTTCCCTTTTTTCTTATATCTTCATGAAAGATCGATTTTCCTTCCTATTTTTTGCTCTCAATAACTTGAAAGGTCAATATTCACTTGAATAGGTCTCATTGTAGAGTTGCTTTTAACTACCAGACCATTACTGACCTCAATGTACATATATTTTTTTTCCTTTTTTTTAATATTTTCATCAAAGACCAATTTTTGCAAAAGATTTTTTTCTCACTGATTGAAAACGTAACTAAGCACCAGAAATTGTATTGTCTTCAATTTTTTATCGAAAAGTACATTGTATGAAAATGAATTTCTCTACTGTAAAAATTGACTAAGTTTAGAAGGTTGAAAAACAATATGTTCTATACAATTTCGGAGTGCTATGGACGTGAGGATTCCAAATCTACCACCGGCTTCAAAATTGGATCAATTTTGTAAGTTGTATTGAGTTTTTTCTCAAAATACCCGATTTCACACGTTTAGGCACTACCCACTATACATTCTGAAATTTCACATGTAGGCGTAACCAAATGACGCCTACATGGGTTTTTTAACATGTGGGTGTCATTTTGGATGGTTTTGAGCGCCTACGTCATAAATGCAGGCGCTTTTTTGTGGGAAACACCCATGTAGGCACTGTTTTGGCAGCACCTACATGGTTTTCTTGCGGGCTGCAAATAGCAATGGCCTATGAAAACTAAGTCTATGGTCAGGGTTTATGGGGGTACAGAACAATTTAGGTTGTCAGGAGATCAGAGGTGAACTCGACAGAGAAAATAATACAAGCAATCAATCAAGATCCGCACCAGATACTTCTTATGAACCAGAGATATTTGAAGTTATCCGGTAATGGCTTATTTATGAAAATTCCATTAAGTACTGGAATGATTTGCAGGGTACGGGTTCTTTTGTGTAACGTCCCTTGTCTACACTTTCACCCTGTTCATAACTTATTGCTGAACTTATACTGTACACCCCCTTTGGTAACGCAAAAGTTACATGTGCGACCAAATGCGCACCACCAAAAATGCGCAGTGATATTCGGTCGCACATGTGACCCGATTTTGTCATTCGGTAAACCCGAGTGCAACAAAAGGCGCACACGTATTCTTGCATATATATGCAAAAAACATGCATATTCTTGAAAACAAAAAAAAGTGGTTTTTCTTTTTGATATATGCAACTTCAACATTGTGCGACTTCTTTCGCACTTGGTTCTAAATTCATCGAGGTGAGTTTTTTCTTACTTGTCTCTTTTCCTCTTTTTTTCTACCTTGTCCTTTCCCTCTACCTCTTCCTCGTTTCTAACCATTCTCCCTTTTTGTTGCTCTTCACACCAATCCCAACGTGACTCCCTTCGATTGACTCAATCTAATTTTTAACCCAAATTCACAGCTTATCAACTTCAAACAACCCTTATTCATTTGAATCAAAACCTCATTCACTCAAAATCAAATCATAATCAGTTAACATCAACACCAAATAATTAGATTAGTAACTTTTCCATTTGGAATAACATCAATTTATATCAAAATAAATCATAATTGAGTAAAATCAGAATCAAATCATTTGTATGTATTACAATCTGATTGATCTGATTCAGAATCATTCAATGTGACAATTCATTAATTTATATCAAAACCAAATCAAAATCAGTCAATATCAGTCAATATCAAATCAAAATCATATCGTGAATAAAACAGGTGCTGACCTAAAACACTAATGTCATCATACCCTCTCAGAATCCCAACTTTTGAATGATTTGCATAGTTGAGCATGATTCCACCAAATGAATTTATAAATGTATCCTAGGCTTCTCTCTCTTGCAATGAATTGTTTTTCATGGAGTTGTGATTGAATATGACAGAAATTTGAATTATAGACAGGGGAAGGACAATGAGGGATATGAAGGGGAAATGAGCAGAATCGAGTTATTTGTACTTGATTGATTCATTCAAATCCCACTCATTGGTAATGAATCACAAATTGCATGACTCATAGATTGTTTACCAAATGGCAAAGCTGGGGTAAACTCATCAATGATTGTATCATCAACCTCTGACAAGTTTACCGAATGTCTTCACAAAAGGCATATGTATTCGTGCACACACGGTGAGAAATTTTCTCACCGTGATACAAAAGTCGCATATGTAACTTTATGCGACTTTTGTTACCGAAGGGGGTGGTAAGTGGCTCTGTAGATGACAAGCTTAGCAATTGGTTCTCTAACAACAACTTTGACTGTAGAATCAGTGATTCATTTGCAATCACGTAGCATCAATAGTCTCCTGCGGTTAGGACACATATTGATGACTGTAAGGTCACTGTTTTGAATCATTTTGGTAACAAATGCATGAGGCCACCTGTGTACATAGTCTGTATCTCCATTTCACCCATTCTCACAGATCCTCCATTTAGTCTTCCCTTTGGGACGTTGACACCTCTTATTTCCTTACCCACATATTGTTGCTTTTCTTGTACCTAGTGCACTAGTGGCCACATTGTACAAATACCAAATTCAGCTGATATCTCTCTTCCATCTCTAATCACTCTACTTGATTTTTGTCAAGACAGTAACGATCTCTCTTTTCTATTGGGTCAACATCAAAATTTACTACTTCTATCATTATATTCTTGTCAGTTGACCCTGGTTAGAAATCGAAGTCCTCTACTACGCTAAATGTCAACCACACTTGGTATAGTTGTCCCATGGCACCACACTTATGTATGGAGTATGATGCTATAATGACACGGGGTTTGAAAACTTCCCCTGTCTTACAGCCCTGAAAGCTCGGCATCTTGTCTTTGCTCAATATCTGCGAGAGGACGAACTTCTGTCCATGTGGTGTACCAAATTTGTCTCCTATTCTAGCTCCAGAGCTCTCCATTGTTGCCCTTTGTCTTTCCCATACACTTGTAGACAACTAAACCATCATCAGAATGTCTCCACCAATGCTGTTGTTTTGGCCTGGCCTCATTAGATATAATGCCACCACACATCATACTAGACACACCTCTAGGTATTTGATGGTATATAACACCTTTATGGCTTAAATGTTCTGACTTACTTAAACCTTCCCCTATTATCAAAGCATCTTCATAGTTGTATGTCATGTTGGAGAACACTACTAACATAGGTACACCTGGTATTGAGATGTATGGGTTGTCTTTTACCTTTTCAATTATACTTTGCATCAAAGGTGTCCTGACTATGGGTAGATGGGAGGTTATAGGTGCTACTGTTGATGATAATTTCGTTCGGGGTTTGCATAGAGCTTGAACTGACATTGAGCATCCTAAGAGTGGCCCGGGAGGGTCTTCATCTCTCATGAATGGATAGAGCATGTTAAACATATTAGGTATAGTCCTGAAACTTGGCTTCAAACAACCTAGTGTATTACCAATAACGTACTTGGCAGTTTCATTGTACATTTCTGAATCAAACCATCTCTCATTCTCAAAGGACCTTTCATGGAAATCTTTCATCAAATATCCCAGCCTGACTAAGCACCCCGAGGAAATTGACATGAGCATGATACACTTGTCTTCACTTGGATACATGCTAGGTGTGTCTATGCCCTTATAGCTATCCCAAACGTCTGCTATAACCATACCTGTCTTTATTGAAACATGTTTCACTGTTCCCATGAAATGCAATTTGATATAAGTACCATTTCTAGGCTGATATTTAATCTGAAGGCCCACCCACCTCATGAATTTGAGTTGCTTCATAGTCATGAGCCACATACACACACAGTAGCTGTATACAGTTCTTATATGGCTAGCTTCTAAACTAGCTGGTGGGTAAGTAGGGGACATAGAATTCTTCCAGCTTTCCTTTGTCACTCTCAGTGAGGTATCCCTCTCTACCTCCGTTCCTATGGACTCCATTTCAAAAGGTCGCATGTCTATCACTGAATTATCATGCACAATGCCATAGATTCCAGTATGAGATCTTACGTCTATCATATAAGTATCATGACTAGAACCACCATATCACAGGTGGTTCGCCAGTCCATGACAGGCTTGCGGGATGTGTGACAGGTAGGCGGGTGAAAGGCGCACCGTCAGAGTTTTTGATAAACTCTGCCACTCACAAGGTGCAAATCTTTCCCACGCCAATACCAATCACACCTGTCAACGACAGACCCTCACAAGGCCTCATCTATCTCACACCACCAACAAGGTGGTAGATCACGCAAAGAATTATGGATGAAGCAATGTGAGACGCCGCTGCGAAAACGGCTAACATTACGATGACTCGTCAACAATCGGTCGCTCTGGGACAACCGCCAGGACCTCCCTTACAAACTTCTAGAAAGAAATCAAACCCCAACAATCCTCCTCCTCCGCCTCCACCCCCTCCACCTCCTCCTCCCCCCACATCAGCATCGGCACCACAAGCAACAGTCGCCACACTGGCGACCTCCAGTCAGCTGGCAGGAAATGCGGAGCCTCAACAACTAGAGGAGGAAGGTCAGAATCAGGACGGACATGGAGACATGGATGGATCCCCAATGGAGGAAGACGAATTGGACAACCTACTGGAAGATGCCGCGAGAATCTTACAAGGTTCCTTAATCGCATCAGACGAAGACGACCAGAATTCTTGGAGGCCGCCAAAATCCAAAGGGAAAGGCAAAGAAGTCGATGTGACAAGCGCGACAGATTCCCGAGAATCATCACCAGCTCAGAAATTTGGATCAGGTAAGCGCCAAGAACTCACATTAAATCTCCCTTCCCTTCTCGGGACACCCTCAGCTAGACACAAATCCCCCTCGACCCCGAGATCCAGTAGAAGGTTAATGAGACCAATCCGGGGGGCTAAAGGCCCATGAACCCATGATCAAATACCCAGGATCCCAGTTGGGGGGGCGCAGATGCAGAGGAAAGACTCCACGAACCCTAGGAGGGGGAGCAGGTCGTGTTCAGCATGAGACCCAAGAAGGGGCGAACAGAAGCGATAGATCCTGACATACCGCGGATCAATTTTTGAAACAGTTAATAACGGAAACTGGAACGATCGAGTCGAAGACCTATTTGCGAGAGGCCATTACGCCAAAGCAGCCGCCATCATCGACTATTTCGAAAAACACGGCAGCAGAAACCGAGATACCCCAAACGGTGAGACTCCCGTGGCAAGTGGAAGTGGCCTCGCAAGATCGAGACCTTATAGCCTGATCAAGGACGAAGTATCCTGCAACTCAGAGAGCCTGGGAAGTGTCCCGTTAGCGAAGCGGAACAGAGTCGAAATTCTATCCCCTAGAGACTCTCATCGACATCAAGGAAATCAGGTGACTTACTCCGCGAGACCAACTGCGAACGTTTGAGACGAGCCCCGCCACTCCCGGAACCAAGACCACACCCCAATGGCCCAAGAAGACGACCATCAAAGGGGAGAAGTCAGGAACACCCACCATCAACCAGACGTCCAAACTCACGAACCAGCTCAACGTCACCCACCTTCAGCAAACGAAGGTACTTCAGAAGACAAAAGAGAGGCCGAGCAGGTGAAGCTCTTGATGGCGACGAAGAAGGGGAGATTAGTTTTACGGAACGGGGATGTCATTGAAAATGGTCGCCTCCTGGTGGCAGACGAATCCGAAGAAATGGAAAAAGGTCTCAACCAACTCTCACCGGTTCTGACACACTGGTTGAGGACATTCAAGTCCTACATTCCCTTAACTGTCTTCAACAAGATCTTCTTGATCGACGACCAAACGGAGTGGAGCCGTAGGAAAGCCCCGACGGAATCACGAATAGACGACGGCAGTTCATCCCTAAGAGTCTATGGCGGTCACCCTCCTCCAGAAGAGATGTTGATGCAGTTCAAAGACTGGATCGACAGCATGGCCCTGTTTATAAGATATGTAGCAGCAGAAGGGTGGCACACGTTGGCGGAGCGTTTCAAAGGTCATCAGAAAGTCGTGATGGAAATGAGAGAAAATTACGGCTGGATGGTCGCTCTGAGATACTGCAGGAGAATACGACAAGGAGTGATGCGTGAAACGATCGAGAACCGGATACGCAACTTCAGTAAGATCCAGACCGCAATCTTCGAAGAGGCAAAAGTAACGGCGGATTCGATGCAAGAGAGGGCTTACCGGACGAACCCCTACGCGGCAGGAGGCCCTCTAGCCCACCTGAACCCCCTGACAGGACAACCGCGAACCATGTCGACCACCTCGTCATCGACGAAGAAGCCCACATCAGACTCACTGACTGCAAGATACATCAAATCGTCGTCAGAAAGGACTTGGATACCGTCACACGTCTGGAAGACCATGTCGAAAGAGGAGGAAGAGAGGAGCTCCCCGGGTTTTAAGGATCGGGGAAGCAGGAGCTATTGAAGAGATGACGACAGGAGTCGAGATTGAGACTACCGTGACAGAGGAAGTTACCGTGACCGGCGAGACCGCAGCGATAGGGATGATCGGGGCAATCGCAGACGGAGCCGTTCGAGGAGCCGAAGCCCTAGAGGCGGGAAAGGCAAGGGGAGAGAGCGCAAACCGTGAGCCTACAACAATGAAATGAAATTATGCATTAGAGAAGAAACGTAACTGGAACATGACCAGAGTGAGAACCATGTGAGAAGTGAAACTTGAGACTTACCAATTGCCCAAATTTGTACTACCGAATGCATAGGTACCCTGTGAACGTGCCGTTGCCTGACCCAAGGGGCAGGTCACCATCATCACAAGATAGATGGCCAATGATAGCCTCCTGTGAGATGAATCTTCCAGTGTGGAAGAGGGAACTGGCCAAGGCAGGTCTGTTGGCATTGCACAGACACATCTTGTCTGGACTGAGAGTCGGCTTTGACCAAGGTATACGCAACACGACCATGGCAGGGATCCCCTTCTTCTGCCCTCCAAACCACAAATCGGCATTGGCAGCAAAGGAGAAGATTTTAGAAAACTTCAAAATCGAATTAGCTGCGGGAAGGATGGCAGGCCCATTTACAAAAGAGGAAGCTTACCGTCGATTAGGCTTCTTCAGGACGAGCCCGATAGGGGCAGTCGTCAATGGGAATGGCTCGACAAGGCCTATCAACGACCTTTTGTTCCCTAGAAACAACAAGTCAATAAAGTCAGTTAACTCAGAAGTAGACAAGAACGACTTCAGTACGACCTGGGATAATTTCAAGATTGTAGCGAGATTCCTCACATCGACAAACGAGGAGGTACTCTTAGCCATATTCGACTGGGCTAAAAAAGCGTACCGGCAGGTACCAACTTCGCCAGACCAGTGGAGGTTTCTGATGATCCTAACATTTGACGACCTAGTAATGCTGGACATGCGGATAACTTTTGGCGGAGTGGCAGGGTGCGGAGTGTTTGGCCAGGTAGCAGATACCTGGAAGGAAGTGATGCTGGTGTCGTTTCCGCTTTTGGCAGCCTTTCGGTGGGTAGATGATACGATGCTCGTAAAATCTAAATCGAGACACCCGGGATTAACGTTGAAAGATATATCAATGCTAAGTGAAGAGATGGGTGTGGTAGAGAATAAAGAGAAACGCAGTGAGTTCGCGGAGGAACAGCGTTACCTGGGATTCATTTGGAATGGTCGCGAGAAGACAGTCTGTTTACCTCACGAGAAGATAATGGCCCGAATAGAAGGGATCGGAAAGTTTATGAGGGAACCCCAGCACAGGTGCAAGGAGGTGGAAGGTTTAGCAGGTAGATTGAACCATACGGCAATGGTACTCCCACAGATGCGGTGCTACACAGTGGATATTTACCAATTCATGGCAGAGTGGCACCACAAATCAGCAAAACGCAAAACACCAGAGTGCGTAGTTAGAGACTTACAGATCTGGTTAGACACACTACGAACGGCGACCCCAAGACGTCTAATACCAAAACCAGATATTGTGAACGTTGGCTGGGTAGGCGATGCCTCAACCTCTTATGGCATTGGCGTAATAATAGGAAAGAAGTGGTGCAAATTCCGTTTGAGGAGGTCATGGGATTGCTGGGAAGACGGAAGCCGGAGGGGAATCGCATGGGCCGAGACAGTGGCCGCCCGGCTAGGTTATCTGACGCTAAAATACCTACAAACAGTCAAAGGTCAACGTTTTCTGATGCTAACAGATAATGTAGTAACAGAGAACGCGATTAAGAATGGGAAGTCAAGGGACAGATGGGTAAATCGAGAATGGCAAAACTTACAAAAGTTACTAATCGACGATCAGGCCTGCATTGAAGTAAGACGAGTGGTATCGGAAGACAACGCAGCAGACAGATTGTCGAGAGGTCTCGATTCGTCGAAACATGTCGCGGACGTAGTAAAACTACAGGTCCCAGAAGATCTGTCAGGGTTTATTGTCCAAGAGTACGAGAGACCTCGTCCGACCGCACTTCGACACGATTTAACATTGTTCAGATGAAAGACCTACCGCAGCACTTCAAAACGGCAGCAAGCGGAACGTCAAGAGCCGGTAGACATGCGGCGAAAGGGAGCTGGGCAACGTCGACGTTAGCAGGCTACAATTCGGGTGTGACAAAGTTCATGGAGTTTAAAAATCGAACTGCCGGCGGTTTCGACCCTACTAGAAAGATCTCAGACGATGACTTGTATGACTTTATCGCATGGGCAAGTGAAACAGACGAGGACATACCTGACGGCCCCTCGAAAGCACTGAGCTCGGTGACAATAAAGAAATACCTAGACGGTATTTGTGCATGGCATATCGTACAACACAGAGCAAAGCCGACAGCAGATCAGGATATCGTAAAAACTCTTATCGCGGCAACAAAAAGAAAGGAAGAAGAGAAAGATTTAGTGACGGTGAAGAAACCGATAATGGTCAAGCAACTATTTGAACTGTTACAGAATACGTACAAAGGGTCAGATACCCAACAACTCATCGGCGTGGTAGCTCTCGTCGCCTTTTGGGGCGTGGCACGTCTGGGTGAGCTGCTGAGACCGACGGTAGAGAGTGGAGCTTTACTACGGAAACATGTCGGATTCGGGTCAAAACGAGGAGCGGTCTACGCAAAACTGTACTTGCGGAAAGCCAAGACGGAAAAACCGGGGGAGGTTCAAGTAATTCACCTTCAGCAGCAGTTCCATGTTTTGGACCCAGTAGCGGCGTTAAAATGATGGCTAGAGAAGGACCCAACCTTAGATCCGGACAGTATCCTGTTTGCCACAAAAGAAAAAGACACAGTTCGACCCTTAACGAAAAGTAGATT